AGGAATGTTGCCATTATTCTGCAATAAATCAAAACAATTAAAATAGGCAAAGTAAAAGAAAAATTTATCAAAAGGTAAAAAAATCAGTTCTCAGTATATCAACCAAACATTTAAGTAATCACTTAAAATTATATTAAGGAACACTATAATGAGAAAATGAAAAAAATAGTGACATCAGCTCTCACCTACTGATCATATCTTCTTTTTAAAGGACAATGCTAGGTGTTTTATATATCTTTATTCTCACAATTCAAGGCCAACTGGCTCAGAGGTCATATAATACGTCCAATGCTTTTGTGAGCAAATTCCCAAACAGACTTGTCTGACTTCACAATCTGTGGGTCTTTCTTCATATTGCAGGCCTCCACTATGTAATGTTTCCAATATATTAGACTCAAATTGTATGCTGACCATGCATCTTTACAAAAAGAAAAAAAGGCAATTGACTAGAAGGAAACAAAATGTCTATCAGAATAGTGATTAAAGGCAAACGTTACAGTATGATCTTTTTTTAAAACTCAGCAACTTTTAAAAACAAAATTGCAGGGCCGGGGATTTAGCTCAGTGGTTTTGCCACCTGCTGCGCAAGCGCAAGGACCTGAGTTCGATCCCTTGTACCAAAAAAAAAAAAACAAAATTGCTGAACAAAAGACTAAGAGGCAATACAAAGGAAATAAACTTTGTTTTTTTTCTTATATTTAGTAGGTAACACAAAAATGTAAGGAAAAAATATAAGAAGGATATACTAAACTATACCTAAACAAGCACACATTAACCCCTGGGTACTCGTTACCAGAACTCAGACCTGATTATTATGACTGGATTAAGAAGATTCTTTCAGAAAAATGTGAATTTTGAGGTAGGCTTGAAGAGAAGGAACACTGATTACAGAGAGTTAGCAATGTTTAAGCCAAGAAAACAGGGATGGAGAGGAAAACAAGAATGCTTTCTCTTTTTTCTTTCTGAGAAAGAGAAAAGGCAAGAATGAGAAAGAAGTGTAATGAAATGAAATTGGGGGAAAGTCTTCAAGGCCTAGAAGATAAGTTTGGGATTAATTTGATAAGCACCAGGGAACTGCTCTATATTTTAAGTAGGAAAGTGGCATGCTGAAATAAAGTCTTTAAAGATAAACTTTGTTATATTGCAGCTCAAGAACTAAATAACTTGTCTAATGTCATATACAACCTGAAGAAGACTACATAATAGTAGAACTCTGATTTTGTAGGAAACAAGATCTAAACCCATACTACCCAGCATTGTATCATCTACCAGCCCCAGCAGGGTATAAATTTTAAGTTATTAAAAACAATACAGTTTCTCATATACACACTAGTGATATTTCAAGTGTTTCATACCCACACACGGTTAATGGCAACCATATCTAACAGTGGAACATAAAGAATATTTCTATAACTCAATAAAGCTACAGGAGGGGAGAATTACTTCTATTACTGCAGGAAGTTTAACTGCACAGCACTTATCTAAAGAATAATCTTAGAGAATGAGATGTGATCTGATTTCTACTCACTAGAAGTATAACTCTGGACAAGTTAATTTTCCTTAGCTTCTATTTCTGAGGTGTGTGGGAGGAACAAGGGATTAATAATACCTATCTCACAAAGTATGTATCTCTTGAGGATTAAGAGATAACATGAAAAATACTTTGTATACACTGTATGGCACTTAACAAGATAATAAATACTAATACTCTTCCCTTCTGGATCCTCTTTTCTTTCTACCACTCTATGTAACCTTTGTTAAAAAGATACAAACACTGTAACTCATCCAAATTAACATCTTCCCCTCAAGAAAGTCCACAGTATGTAATGCTCATTCTGTTCTTACTGATATCTTCAAATACTTGCACCTCTCTTCCAGTGTTTCTACTTGGAGTAATGAAATGAAGAATGAATGTGAGGGAAAATGGCTCTAATAGAGAGTATATAATAAATCTCTCCACTTCTTTTCCCCATCTCATTATATATTTGACTTCTCATGGATAGGAAATGTCCATGAAATCTCAGAGGATATGAAACAAACTATGTATCCCTAGATAAATGTATTTCTCCACACCATTAAAGAAAATTCTACAGAACTTCTACTTTATATTTCTTCTCACCATCTGTACTAATTGCATATTAAAAAAAGAAACAATAACACCTTCCTCCTACAGTGCTTTCTTGGCAAAGAATAAAAAGATTTCCAGAATGCTAAACCAATGTTCAATTCCTCACAATTTATTCTAGTGAATTGGTAAATCTGCTTTTGTTTCATTTTGTTTTGTTTTGCTTTTTGAGACAGGCTCTTGCTATGTATGTAGTTCACACTGGCCTTGAACTCACTACATAGCCCGGGCTGGCTTCAAACTTGCCCCAATCCTCCAGCCTGAGCCTCCCAAGGGCTGGAATTACAGGCAGGTACCACCATGCCCAGCTTGTGGGCTGGTCAATGTAATGTATCTGGACTGTAGCATGTAAACAACTTCAAAATATCCAATAACCCATATAAACAACAGTATTCAACTCAATCTGTACCCAGGACATTTCTACCCATAACCAAATTTTATTTAGAGCAACAATTTATATTTACTCACATAAGTCACACAGACTTATATTCTTATGAGTTCACTGAGTTTGCATTCCTAATAACTAACATAAACAATTCAAGGGCTGAGGATGTAGCTCAGTGGCGCCGCACCTGCCTGGCAAGTGCAAGGTTCTGAGTTCGATCCCCGGTACTACAAGAAAAAACAAAGAATTCAATCAGAACTTTTAACCACTTGCCTTTAAACATCTATCATACAAGTTAAGATTCCCACCTATTTTTAAAGTGTTCTTGTTCTTTAAAAGCAATATTAACTCTCAGAGGAGGAAAAAATAAAAACTCTCAATAACAGTAAAATTACTTAGTGGCTTAATTTATTCCTTAAAGATAAATTACTCAAAAACGTGACCACTGACCCCCATTTTTGAGTTTAGAAGTGGTCATAAATAAATATAAACCAGTAACATTGAACTGACACTTAACAACTCTAATTATGTTTAATGGACAAAACTACAGTATTTGAACAAATATACAAACTATAGAGTTTAGCAAGAGTTGACAGGGGCCATATAAGTTCAAAACCAAACCAAAGCAAAACAACAGAAAAACCTGAAAAGTTTTTATTACTATTCCACATAAATTATCCTACTTTATACATTCAAAAATACAAAAGTTAGGATCTATGCCTGAACTAATGAAATATAACTTGTGAGATAGTGTAATTTTTTTTTAAATCCTTCAATAATAATGAAGTATACAATGGTCACAGAATAGTTCAAATTAATTTTCCTGAGGCTACATTCTAAGTACATCAGACCCAGAAAGTATTTTTAGCAAGTGTGTCCAATCAATGCTGGTTTTATGCCTAGCCTAAATTAGAAATTAGGTGTCATACATTTAAAGTAACAATGTTATTAGGGACATTTTAAAGATATTCAATCAGGTCATAAGAAAAAACACAAATTTGACAATTCGCCCATATAACTAGAAGCTTTTAGAAAACAGGCAATAAGAAAGTCACATCCTCATCTAATGCTACTTCTGAGGAATGTGATTTTCTAACTTAATAAACTATAACCTACTCAATTAATATTAAGAAACGCTATAATAATGTTTCCTTGGGTTTATAAAACTCTCCCTACATATTTAAAACAGATTAGCTCAATCACAAATATTACAGTGTAACAAGATAAGCCCATATTGCTCTTATAAATCACTCAAATCAAGATTCTATGGGACTATGCACATGTGTCAAGACAAAATGTACAAAGATATGTATGCCATAAAAAAATTCACAGAGATACAAAAATAGCTTTTGTGGTAATTGGAGCAGAAACTTATTCTGACAAAAAATGGTGCTGTCCGAATCATTGAACTCCTTTATAATAACTTAGTAAAGTAGTTCTGTACACTACAGATTTGCTTTCCAAAAGGTTTCTGTTTAAAATTCAGTTGTACTTATATTCATCAAATTCAAGATTTAACTAGTATATTCAGCTCTCTCCTACTAAGTACACTTTGAGTTCTCAATAATTATTTATTTTAAGGTCATCCCCTCCCCCCTTGAAAACTGAAAAACAACTTTTCCCCCGTGGCATATTAAGGTTCAGAAAAATGCCCTGGTTTTTACTGTTCCAGTCTTCTTTATACTCAAATTGTCTTTTACAGGTAGGACACGTCCACTTTTTGGGTCTCCATGGACTTGACCAATGAGCTATATTGTTTCAACTGGGCCCAAGATCTGGTCACAAAACTTAATATTAAAGTTCTCATTCGAAAAGTAGCTGGTATCTTGCAGATATCACAGGTCCTCCCAGAACAAGCAAATCGTTTTAGTGCATACTGATGTCACTCTGATGCAAGGCCAAGTCTCCCATCCCAAGCTTCGCAGAAACATTCATATATACATATATATGTACAACCATAAACTGTACCATTTAAGGAAAGCTCAGAAAATGCATCATTACACCTATTTATCATAATACTGAACTTTTTTTTTATTTTTTACAGATTCCTACACACAAGTATATACCGGTACAATCATGAGGGGCTTAAAACTTCAATGGTAAAGATAGTGTTCATGCGACATGCAAAAAGCACTCACATAAGCCAAGTGTGTGCGTGTGTGTGTAGGGGGTGTCTACCAGCAGTGGAAAACTCCGAAGGTTCTAAAGCCTATGTAGAGTTCAGGTGCTTAGGAATATTCCATCTCCACATCTATTCCATCCCTTGCCCCTTCGCTCACTCCTAACAGATTTCAACCATAACCCCTGGAAGCTGGAAGAGCAGAGGTCTCAGGAAGGTGGGGAAGGGGCGTCTTCTCCCCTTCTTACAAGCACCCTTGTGCTTCTGGCTTGCCCCACCTGGATCACTCGCACGAAACGCACATGCCCCAGGTAATACCTCGCGCAAAACGTGCGGGCCGAGAGGCCGGTGGGGACCCGAGAGCCTCTTACCTTCGTATCACAGCCGCGTCCTCTCGGCTGGAGAATAAGCTTGGAGGCCTGGGAGCGCCGGGAAGAAGCGCGTCCGCTGCGCCACTCTGGGGGGCTCCCTCAGCGCCCCCCGAGCAGCCGCCGCCGCAGCGGCCGCGCCACTGCCCCGAACCGCCAGCACCACCTCATACTGCGGGGCTGCCGCGGGCCAGCGCGCCGGGAGGGGGCAGGAGGCGGGCAGCCGGCGCCCGCTCCCACCTCCCGGACAGGATGAGATAATCCACACCCCCAAAGTGCCGTGGGGGAGGGGAGCTCGGGGCGGGGGGCCTGGCTCCAAACCTCTGACCCTTCGGCCAAAGCCAAATCACTCCCTGCCCCAACTCAGGCCCAATTCCTGAGGACCCGGGAGTCCTGAGAGAACAATGTAGGGGGGCCGCGAGGAGCAGAAAGGCGCGCAGCGCGGCGTTAGCGGGTTGGCAAGCCTGGGTAGCGTTTGTGTGTGAGAGTGCAAGTGGCGCTCAGTCACCCCCCTCCTCCTTCTCCCCCTCCTCCTCCTCCTCCTCCT